GGTCGGATGTTTACACCTCTGGCGCCAGCGATGACGTCAGATGGGGGTGCTTGCGCTTTATATATAGTACCAGACTAAAGCGCCGCGCAGCGGCGCTTTAGACTGGCGTGTGTGTGAATTGGGAAGCGACCGAAATTCAAAACCTCTATAGTCCTGTGAGTCCTGTAGCGAACCTTTTTCCTCCGCAAGAATTTATAGACACATAACAAATTAAGAGGCTATCGATCAAGGGTTAATCTTCCCTGCTAAATAGTTCCCAAGTTTTCTTAGCGGAAGTACCAACAGAAGTAACTGCTCCCCACCTTCTTCTAACATCAACGCTGTTTACTCCTGCGCTCTACAGGGTACACAATTTTGTACGCTTCTTGTTGGGGCCTTGCGTTGTCCTTCTTTTAATCGAATTGTTCTGTCTCCCTTCTCCCCCCACCAATTTTTTTTTCACACAAAAGATTTTATATGAAGCTCCGGGATCTAGTAATCTTTGTCGATTTTCAATCTTCTCAATCCTTACTAAGCCTTCAAACCTTGCCTCGAAGCTGCTGTATTCAAAATGCGCCACTTACACGTCAGCCTAACCAATCTGGATCATCCCAAAATTCAGCTGACGCAGTCCGCAGCGCCATTGTGTACCACGACGTCTGCGATTTGCTACAGACGGTCGTGTTCGTGTTGTGGACCTCCTCCCTTCTTGCGAGCGCGCGTTTTCAACCCAAGATTTCAGACTGATACGATTGAGCCTGTAAATGGCTAGTTTCTCACTCCTCCGACGTTTTGCGACAATACTTGGATGCCCTCATGCTTCTATAATACATTCAAAAGTTCCTCTGGCCGAGATGGCCGTCTTACACTCGGCATAGTTCTTCCAGCCCTGTTCACCCCCCCCCCCCCGTTACCTCCTCTTTGCAAATTACCTCCAAAACCCCCGTTCCTTTTACAGAGGTTTCCAATTTGTCATACTCCCATGACATTTCGTCCCAAGCGGCTTGAAATCCACTCACTTTTCAGCTTTCTCATTAGGCTACTAATCTTTTCTACGAAGAGACTTATTATTGAAGCGTACTTTGCCTTTCAGCTGCTTATCCAAGCAAATCCTTGTTGTTCATATGTTTTTTGATTGTGCAGATATTGGCAAAAAACTGCGCTCAATATTTGCAACTTGACATTCCTGAGGTTAGCAAGGTCTACTCGATGATGAAGCCAACTTGCGATTCATCTTGTGTGGTGGCGATTCGAACAGTGAATAGCTCTCTTTTGCCTAAACTTTCACCCCCCCCCCCATTTTCATTATTTGGAAACCTTTCTAGCCTGTCCACTTCCTTCAGTTTTAACCCATAGTGGACGAAACTCCCTTGCTTTTGCCTCGCAGTATGGTTATGTTGGACAAATAACTGAGAGGACCGAATTTTTGAGTATGATCGAGAAGGCTGCTGCAGTAACTACAACTTTGCTGAGTTGTTCTGTTCTAGAGTATCCTTTACAGCTGAGCGTGAAAATGGTGAAAAACTCGATCAGCTACCACAAAAATTCGCACAACTTCAAAAAGCTGAATTAGGAACTCTCGGTCGGTGAAAATGTGGTCAATCAATGTTACCGCTCAGAATTGAGCATGAGAGGGCATTCTGATCAACAACGGGAAGTAGGCCCAAGCAAAAAATGAGTCATCAATTTGGGTGCAGTGGGTGCATTAAAGGCAGATGGAATTGTTGACATCGTCACGGCAGTGTGACGTCAGATGCCCCCCCCCCCTGCGCTTTATATATAGAGATGATGATAAGAAGCCGAATGCTCAAGCAAAATTGCGATCTGCTAAGAGTTCCTTACCTGCCACAAACAGATTCGTTCATCTATTTCCACCATTAACCGAGATTATGCATTCGATGTCGAAACTTTAATTCTATGGAAGGCACTAGTCTGAAGGAGATCAATAGTAGTAAAAGAGTTCAAAATCACACGCTGAAAACATCAGTTTCAAATCTTAATAAAGTTCGAGAAAATGAGTTAGCGCCAGTGATTCTAACAGCACACATATTTATGTGGATGACAAAAAAATTCATCGCCGAAATCGCTGTCATAGACTGTGAATCATCGATAAAACATGCAGTCATGTCATCAGCAGGCAAGACTGCATAGTTACAGTGTATCATGTAGATTAATGAACGGATGATCCGGATCGCGGCTTTTACTATCACAAATATAAGAAAAACAGGCAAGGTTGTAAACCAAACAATTCAACATGATTGCGACAAAGAGTTCATATAAAAAGCCCGATGAAAAACAAAAATAGTTTGAAGTGCTCACTTAACGGTCTCTTTGAACAGTGTGAAAGAAAATAGTTTTCTGTAACAGTGTCGGCAGGGAATAAACCATCTGAATGACACGAATTGCAACACGACTGGATAATTTTGCTCCAAAACAGTACTAGCGACCCATTCCCATCTAGTGCGGACAAATTTCCTCGAATCTGAAAGAGAAACAGCGAACACTAATAGAGATTTGTGAGATTCAGGGTTTATAGAACAATCTACCAGGTACCTCTTCCAAAAGGTCATTTTTCGTGTTATTGCAAGCGAGCACCACGCCTGAAGTAGCTCTCAAGGTCTACTTTTCGCGACGACCTGGTGGGGATTGTACGAATCGGCTTTTGAAAGTCTAAGGCAGTCATGAGTAGCACCTTTTCGAGCTGTCGGCTGTGGTAAGGTGCACTGTCTAAGATCAATGCAAGAGAACGACCAGCCGCAACAGCTTGCATGCGAAGGGTTGAGCCAGAGTACGCGGCGTACGGGCGTACGTGACGTACGCAGCGTACGCTCGGTATATTTCATCATAGGAGAGTACGCGGCGTACGCTGCGTACGCCGCGTACGCCGCGCAGTCTGACCCAACCCGAAGGATGGCGTCGCAACTCGTTCTCGAACACCACATGATTCATATAACGGTGGTAGTCAGGGTAAAGCGGGGGGTGCGGCACGCCGCAGGGGGGGGTCGTAAGGGGGGGGGGGGGGGTAGGTAGGGGGGGTCGTATCGACCGAAGGTCAATAGCGGTTTCTAAGGGGAAATGACTGCAGCTAAGTTCTTAGATGTGCCACGCTCTTTCCCAACTACCTCTGACAACTCAGGTTCAATAATTGAGAGAAATACTAAATGGAGTCTTGATTTAGGTACGAGTTGTGTTTTCAATAGAATTTCTTGAAAAGGAGATTTTGCAGTGAATGGATGATGGTGTGACGACCGACGTGTGATGTGTGGGAAGTGAAGATTTCGTCAATAGAAATGCACGATACATTTGAACAACTTGTGTCGGGAAAGAGGAACTTACGCATATTGTTGTTGTGGTTTTGTGTAAAATGTACCTTTAAAAAAACATTTATCTGTTGCATACGTTAATATAAGGAAATGAATAATGATTTATAAAGATGTGAAGATGCTCAGTCTGTTTTCTGAGAAGATCCGATTGAAAAAATGTTCATCTTAGCAAGTTCTTCTTGCAAAAGCCGGTTTTTGATTTCCTCCGTGTCCTTTCGTGCATTTAGACCGTGGACCACCATGTGGCGCCTTACATGGAGCTTGGCCAACTCATATGCATCTCCTAAATGCATGCGTTAAATTCTGAAACCTGAAGTGAATCCAACCTTTTGCAATGTTTTCTTTTACTGCTTTCATGAGGCTGCCTTCTCTAGCTAGATTCGATGGCATACCCGGATCCAGCCCAAGTCCCGTTGCAGCTTATTACATTGACTTGCGCACTTGTACAAGCTGTGTGACTAAATTGACTTGATGAAAGCGCTGTTGAAATCCTGCAAAATTCAAGTTCAACGACACAAACTTGCAGATACCGTATGCCTACCGTAACCTACCGTACCTCTAATCAAGCATAATTGTCGTAATCCGCGTGTCGAATAACCCCTATACGCCAAGTTTCAGCGAACTCTGAGGTCTCCGAGCAGTAAACAACCTTGTATGAAGCAGTAATTTAAAACATGATTAACTTTATCTTAACGGTGAGTAAGCTACCTCTTCTTGCACTCAATACAAAGCACTACTCCTTCTTTGTCCACCTCAGGAATCCCGCTTCAGAAGACCTCCAAACTATTGAATTAGAAGCCAACCAAAATCGCTTTCAGTTTTTGATCGCTGTGCTTTCACCGGATATTACTCAGAGCTAAGAAGACGAATCAGGCTCAAAACATCCCTATGGAATCTACGAGGTTTAGGCTATTGATTCATATAAATATTGTCCGCTAAAAATGTTTTTTTGATATAGTTAATGGCCTGCGGCACCCCCCCTGAAAACCTGCGGCTGCCGCAGGTTTTGAGGGGGGGGGGGTGCCGCAGGCCATTAACTTACCTTCAAAACGCTCAAACAAATCCCTTTTTTACACTATTCTGTAGATCCATCCTTCTCCTCTTCGTAGTAGCCTTTGCCCCCCCCCCCCCAAGCGCGCCCTCTTAGTAGAGATACGGTGGGTTTTCCGAACCCTACTCACCGAAACACCCAGTCCGACAACCGCCGAAAATATTGGTGTACGGTAGGATTCCAAAAATTGCCGGCACACCAAGGGCGGGAGGCAGGACATTTCAAACTGTGCATTTCAAAATCACTCTCGTCTCGTCTCGCCTCGTCTCTCGTTCTCGTCTCGTTGATGTTGTTTTTCTGAAATTCCGGCTACTCCAGTGTGCGCAAACTGGCGCTCTCTACTCGTAGAGATATGTATCAGTCTTCGCAGTTTGCAGAGAGCAAGCCATGGAAGAAGAAGAAGAAGCCATGAAGCTTGGCCCGGTACATTACGGGTATGTTTAGTCATGATTTTCTTCCTTCAATCGTTTTTGCTTTTCTTTTTTCACGGAATTGGCATAATTATCACCTAAACTAGTTGATATAATGCAAAAAATCTGAGACATGTGATGTTTTTGTCCTTTTGTAATCACGTCTTTTGCTACTTGGTACAGCTTCTTCAGTTCGAAAAATTTGATATTGCATGCTGAAATCAAAATCTATTCCAGATGCAATTTCCATCGTCCACAAGTCGTGCTCTTAACACAAGACTGGGTCGAAATAGAACAATATCAGGTTTGCCATTTCACTACCATTGCACTTTATTTTCAGGTACACAGAAATAAATTCTATTTAGAGTCTGCAGTAATTCACGGAAAACATGCCGCCACCACTCCTCTTGTTTTTGAACAAGAGCTGAGTATATCAGGCAAGCAACTACCATCACAAGAAGTACCGCAAGCAAAGGTACGTCCATATGCTCGTTATACTCTCTTAATATCGATTCTCTTTGTGCCTGCTTACATTCTTTTTGAAGAGATGTTTTATCGTTACCTTTCTGCTTCTTTGTTCGCTGAATTGCACTTGTTCACGAAAGTGAATTTCTTTTTCACTTTGCCATTCGAAAAGGGTTCATCCGATTGATCATCGAGCTGGACAAAATCAATGTCTCTTGTCCTTTTTCTATGCAACTTTCTTCCATCAAGCTTAGTTTTTTTTGGAACTAGTTTTGCATACCGCTCAGAATCTCTCATGCCCACCGCTCAGAATCTCTCATGCCCTTTCAACAGTGGTTGAAACAAGTTTCTAACTTGATCTATTAGAAATGGATTTTAAATAGCCGCGCTTAAAACCGAGATTTTATTGCATTTAGTTTCTTGGCCATATTCAACCGCAAATAATACTATTTCTCTAGGCTGCGGAATGCGATGAAATTGTCAACGTTTTGCACACTTGATCATGAGTTTTATATCTATTCGAACTGAGAAGTTGATGCCTTAGCATGAATGCTCGCATCTGCTATTGTATGGCCCAGAAACTTCTATCGCCGAAGCTTCACTCATTTCTGTAGACACGATAGGTCATCTTATTAACACTTTTCCTGCAAAAATATTCAGCTGTTCAATACGCAAAGAGCTAGAAAGTTTGTAATCTGGGACGAGCCTATGATAAAAAGGCTTTAAAAGCCAGCAATTCAAGATTTTCGATTTCAAAGTTGTTTGTGAGATTGATGAACTGGCAGCGCAACTGAAGGTTTTTCTACGCAATTTGCCTATTTTCACTGCTTTTAGTATTTATCTAGGATGAAACGGTAAAGCCTACCCTCATTGCGAACGAGACTTCTCTTGCTGATCTTACGGATGAGTTGAAGGTACCAACTGAATCGTGTCTATCCTTTTTTCTCTTCAGTGAAGGTATTTTCTAGTCTGTGAGAGTTTCCAAATCATCGGGAGCTGCCACCGACTGACAAAGAAGGAGCCGCACCAAACGTAGACAAGTCTTCGAATGCGAAAGTACTATTAATGTTAAATACAAGATTATCAGCATCAGTTTCACAAATTTTCTAGCTTCTCTCCTTGGAACAGCGCATTCGCCGAATTGAGTCGTTGGTTGGCACGTATGATCCAGCTCGACAGTCCATTGCAGACGCTGTTGAAGATATACGGTATGTTCGTGTGTATGCTACAATCCGTGTCTTTGAAAATGCACTTTGCAATTCTTTGTCACTTCTTACTCTTTTTAGGTTTGGAAACGTATGCAGATTATTGGAGATGTCTTACGTAGATATAAAATGGACTATCGATGCAATTTTCTTGGTCTCACGGCAATGATAGAGTTTGTCATGCAGGTCAGTTTTTCTTTTTTGATTTTTTGATGTTTTCTTTTCTTTTGTCTCACTGCTTTCTCAAAATCGACTTAACACTAGGAGTATCTGCTGTTAGTAAGCTTCACCTTCTAGGGCATTACCAACTTGACTAGAGACACTGCCAACAACACGCATATCATCATGTATCTCTCTTCTCACAAAACAGTTGAATCTTTTCGGAGATTTGTAAATAATTCAACATTATAACATGGCCTTGATGGAGGGAGAATCTGAACCAAAACATGAACAAGTGATCTGTGTTTCTTCAGTTTGATTTAGTACAACCAAAAAGCTGTCGAAATGCTAGATTCAGATAGAGAGAGAGAGTATTTCCATGGTGTTTGGAGGTATGCAAAGTCTACTCTATATCAGCTTGAACCATGTTCTTTCGCTTTTTTCCCTTACCCTTGTTCTGTGTACGAGTACTCTCACATTTTCTTCTCTTTTCTTGACTTCTTGCACTACGTGCTGTTACTTGTACGCATCTTCAGTTTGCATAAGACAGCAAATCCAGGTGTGCGGGCTGCCTGCTGTCAGTTTTCAAAAGATTATCGAGGTCGTCATACGTAACGAGTCACGCCTTACGAGAGAAATAGTTCGACATTTGAACCATGTAAGTTGTGCGTTGATCTGAGTTGTCCATCTCAACTCGTCATTTAGGTCGAAGAGAGAGTGCTTGAAGAATTGGCTTGGACCAAAGATAGCGCTTTGTGGACGGCGTTAAGTCGAAAACCTGACAGCGTACCAACATGTGATGAAGCATGGGGTAACCCAACAAGAATAGTGAATCCTCTAGGCTCACCACCAAAGAGAATCTTGGTTTTTATTGTCTATTGTCGTTATAGAATTCATGTGAATGCGATTTTACATAGGCGTTTAGGCGTTACGATTCCGAGTCTAACACTTTTTCCCAGCTTTTATAATAAAGGTTTATAGACAAATCGTGTGATGATTTTGACGTTCAGCGTTCTATATCTCTGTGTTGAATTATGTATCTATACAATAAATTCTATTGCAGAAACATGGTTATCGATACTAACAAGTACACTAATATCCATCAAAGTAATGAACTCTGGCTCCCTGCCGACAAGAACGCAATTTTTGCGCTCATCATTCTGATAGTTTTGGTAAGTCCTCATTCGCCATTAAAACAGCCTAAAAACTATCTTTTTTCAGTTGGTTTTCATTTACATACTGCTCAACAAAAAACTAATTCTCTGCGGAACTCCGTGGACGACCACCAACACACGCCCTCGCGTCGAGAACGTTTAGAGCAGAAGATCTCGTCATAAGATCTCGTTCAAGATCTCTTGTTTTGTTGGAATGTTTTCTGTTAAAATAAAGTCTTGCTTGCTCAAAAATAGCTTAGAAAATTCAATGAAAATGAAGTACCGTTTTGGAGCAGTGACGGTCGAGAACAGACCGGAATTGCGTATGACGAACAGGGCTCGGCGCGACGTGGCTTAAAGGCATCGTCCACCCAAATTGGGGTTGGTGAGATTATGATACCTAGCACATGCGGGGCCCCAACTATATGACTGCCCAACTCGCGCTGATGGGTATGAGAAGGCCCTGGAACGGCAAAAAGGTGGGGGTCGAAATTCTGGGTGGACGGTGCCTTCAAGAGCGAGAGGGGGGGGGGGGTAGGAATGGGGTGGGGGTCGTACCGAGGTCCGGTTCAAGGGGGGGGGGGTCGTATCCGACGGTCGTGTGCCGCACCCCCCGCTTTACCCTGGTGGTAGTCCTCTTCACCATCCCTTACGCCATTGATGATTACCTCGATGCACCCGGTGACAGCGCCTTCTTCGGTGATTGCACCGACGACGATTGCCCGTCGCCCTTTGTTTTTCGCAGCAATTTTCCCGTAGGAATATTTGCGAAAAGTAGACGCAGGAGCGAAGCGGGGGTATTATTATCACTCCATCCCCCACCTTTCTCATAGAGGCAAAAATCCACGTCTCGTTCATAAAAATGAGACTTCTCGGTTCCTGGCTGACTATGGTTGAAAGCCCTCTTGTGGACGAGTCCGGACGCTCAGATATAAAGGTGGTTTTTGTTGATCTTGTATGAAAAGCCCAACTTCCGCAAAAATGGTAAATAACTCCGTGCGACATTTTGATAGGAGAGCACAGGTACTCACCAATTTTGGTCGTAGAGAGCCTTTTTGATCGCATCGAGATCTCCGCTGTCCAAGACACATTCCTCTTATGCCTGAAAATAAATAATTTACTGAAACAAGTGAAATTTAAGAAACAACAAAAACGAAAATAACACCGCTAGTCTCGAAAGCTTGCGCTTGGCGGCGTTCACTCGCTGTTTTCGCGCCAGGACCGCGATTTGGAAACCCCGGGGCAACCGAGAAAAAGTAGTGCTCCTTTTGACTTTTTTTGGAAATAAACAAAAACGGGTATTGCTAGTTTGAGAGAAAGACATGCAAGGAGAATTGCAGATAAAACGAAAGAGGGGGAGTATGAGGGGTATTAGGAGGAGGAGGGGCATTTGTAGGAGTTTTACTGAGAAGTCTTTTATGAGGAGTATTTGCATGTCAAAACTAATGCGCCCTTCAAATTTTTAACCCCGCATTGTTGTTCCTCTCTCTTGGGACTTGTCTGGATTGTTGCATTCATTATTCTGAGCGATAATCGTCCAAGCTGGAAAAAAATTGCTGCGAAAGCACTGAAACAGAGCAAGGTTAAAAAAACCGCACATTTTACGATATTTCCCAAAAAATTCCGCCATGACTAAAGGGTTGGGTGACTGCTGAATTACGGAAGCAAGATCTATAGAGTGCACAAACCGCGTGAAAAGAGTTAAACAGGGGGAAAACAAGAGATTTTCGAAAACAAGGTTTTTGCCGGATTTCTGGATCAAATAAAAAAATATGGTTTTGTGACGTTGTCAGCGTGAAAGTAGAGATCAAGAGCACTAAGATGACACATAGCTTACTAAAATTGGGTTCAAAACAATGAAGAAAAGGGTGTCAGAAACAGATGCCGCGCCCCGCGTTTAGGGTAGCGAGGTAAGGCGCAGCGTGCGGAGACTCAGACGAGCAGCGAAGACAGACCAGAGCTGATGGGGCATTCGACTTTCATACATGATGCTACTGTCGGTGATCTGAGGAGGTAATATAATATATCGTTGGAACGTTAGAGCCATTCTGTGGAGACCCTCTTCTCCGCTTATCCGCTAATGTTTGCGCTAGAAGAACAGATAGGTTTGGGGATTCGCCTGACTTGCATATATGATGGGCAAGATCACAAAAATACGGATGCGAACCTGACGACAATCGGTTAAATAATTTGAAATATGTTAGTCGCTCACAATGGGCAAATGAAGAACAACCCATTACACTCAGGCTACAATAACATAGCAGCTCACGGGCAGAGCAAAATCGCGTGGGGCGTCAAACTGATTAAGGTGGATGATCTAAACAACCAGCTGCATAAGATAATGGCAAAATTTCTACAGCAAACTGCGCAAACTCGAAAATATGTGAATGGAAGACGTCGCTGAATGAACCTTCGCGCACGCAAAATCAAAATCCAAATTATAGGTTACAGAGAGAATTTTATACTCTTTTCGAAAAACACCTTGGTCAGCGGAAATCCCACATTTGCACAAAATCTATTACTTTTTCCCGCTGCGCGCAAAGAAGTTTCGGTTGGCTTGTTGATGAGGCGATTGAAGAAGTTTCCGCTGAATTAGCTAACTTGCGACCCCTCTGTTGAGTCCAAAACCATTCGGCTGAGCATAACCTAACTTGTACTTTGTCAAAACGGTTTTTTAGGCTTTCTGCCTAAAGCAAAGTCATGCGGTTTGCTCGAAACTATTGTATTAATTCGAAACCAGTAAACAAAAATTACCATGGAATTTTTAGGCACCCACCTCTCAACCACCCTTTATCTTTATCTGTCCAGTTTTCAAAGCTGTCCTTCGTGCTTGAGCAAGTTGATCTTTAAACCCGTAAGCGGTGGACCGCTATCACTTTTACCTGCAGGACATCTAACTGCGTGTAAAAAACTATCTAAACTCAGTTTATATCGTGTCGGTTATGTCCATTTCACCAAAGGGACAGTTTTAGCAAAGCATTCGCCAACGCTGTCCTTCGCAAATTAAGATGAGTCGAAACTACGTCTTCCATAACTTCGTATAACTGTAATGTATCAGAAAGGCCGTAAACAGCTTCGCGCAGAATTGTTGCAAAGTATATTAGGTTGTCCCGAAAGTTTTGTCGGTTTTTTTCATCGCTCACCAAACCTCACAGAACATCGATCCACGGACAACTTGGGTACCATTTGATTCAGATTTTTATCCTCTTTCTTACAGCTATATTTGCTCTCTGATCTATCCTCTATTTGCGGTGCTATCGCCATGGCTTTTTGAGCAACTCAGCAATAACGCCAAATTTTCCTGAATTTTAAGAATTTTTATCCTGAAGTTTACAAAGAGCGCTGGTAACTGTTATGTAGAGCAAACCTTTGGCTACATTGCACTTATTTTAAATTACATTGACCACGTTTACCAAGTCCGTTATAATTATTTATGTAGTAAAAACCGCAGCTTTTTGATAACGTTTACCGCGTGAAAGTACCGAAAATCCCAAAAAGCTGCTTTCGAAGCAAATCAAACTTGGTTATGTTGCATAAATAATGTTTAATAAGAATCATGTTTCAATTCACAGAAATTTCAAAAGCTTTCATGTATTTGCTGCAGTTGTGTGTTTCACGACTTGGCCAAAAATCGAGACCTTCGAAAAAAATAATTTTTTAAGGCTATAAACAGCAGACTAAGAAAATGTGAAAACATCGCTTTGTAGCCCGAAAATTGCTCTGTCTGATCCATACTTAACCTTTCCCGGAACTTTGGAATGAAATTTCTAAAAATTAGCCTAACTTTGAACAGATAAAATTGAAGGGTGGAGAGTTTTGGCAATTATCAAAAAAAGCATACAAAATTATGGATCGAAAATGTATCCTCAAGAAAGAGAATTGAAAGCTGCATCGAATGCATGTTGAAACTCATTCAGGTCTTTATTGTGCGTGGTTTTACAGTAGTTTGAAAAAACGGACAAAACTTTCGGGACAACCTAATATTATCACCCCCTCTTCATCCTTTCTAGGCCTCCTTATCACCTTGCTGCCAAATTTTTTTACTAGCCACCTCGCTAGGTATTTCCCTCAGTGTATGTAAAATGGTCAAGGCCGCAAGTTGACTACTGTTATCAAGCAACGTAGACTTCTCACACAAAACGGCAACTAGTCATCGAAAAGCCGTTCAAATAACAAGTTAGATGAAGTGATATTGTTGCAGAGGCGCTCAAATCATGCCTGGTCCTTTATAGAGGTCTCATGTATAATAACATGAGAGGTACTTTTTAAACATTTTAATACAGTTGTTGAAATAGCATTTCGTCAGTTTTAACGATACAGACTGGCCGTAAAAGTTTCTCCTCGCCCACAGCTGATGCGAATTTAATTCTTATTGTCAAAGTCTCAGATAACAGATAATCGATTGTCTGGACGTTTTTTTAAAGAAATTATGCTTCCTAAGCAATCAAAGTTTTTACATTCTCTGATGAGCAAGGTGGAAATGTTCTCGTAAATTTTTGCAATAGATTATAAGATGTAATGATGGGAATAACAGCTCCGCAAATGGCCAAGTGCAAATCTCAAGGGCAAACACAGACTGATGCTCAGAGATAGACTTAGAGCACTATTTTTCAAACAAGATTCAACGATAATCATGTTTACAATTTCAAGTTCATTGGCAAGTATTAGGCTGGCACGAAAGTTCTGTCGCACCATTTTCAAAAATTCATAACTTCTGAATTTTCGAACCGATTTGACTGTTTTTATTTTTATATGAAAGAGTAAGTCATGGTCTTTATAGTGACATCTTAGATGCTTGCTAATGTTCATCTGTTGTATAGATAGGAGCGATAGAAGAAAATCAGTCAAAATTTGAATTTCCTGTGTAGGGTCATAAAAAATCGGAAACTTGCAACAAAAATCGGAGCATTCGCTGCTGTAGGTTCTTTCACCAGCTCTTTCTAACAGTGCAAAGTTTGCGCTGGTTGAGACTCTCTATGAAAAGTTATGATTTCTCTGAAAAATGCCCAAATATCAAATTCGCCCTTTTGTATTGCTTGCTCAAAAATCGTAACTTTTCATAGAGGCGCTCAATCGGCGCAAACTCTAACCTACAATACCAACTGCTCCGATTTTTGTTGCAAGTTTCCGATTTTTTATGATCCTAATAGAAACTTCGAATTT